TTACAGTTTTGAGCAAACAAAATATAACATTTAAAAATACAAATCTGAGAGATTTAGATTAAACTAGATCTTACACTTCTAAGGTATAGGATGATACTGTTATTAATTCCAGAGCAAATAAAGATGTAAAAAGGAAGAAAACAAAGAATAATGTTTGTTTAAATGAACTGGTTCACACTTAAGAAATCAATTAGAAAAAGACTAGTCACTAACTGATTTTTGTTCAGTTTTCGTTTTCTCGGAGGCTGGGCGACGAATCGAGCAAATGAGGAAGCGGGGATCACAACCTTCTTACATATGGACCTTCAAGAATCACATCAGAATCGGCGAGAATGCAAGATCGCATATGGACAGTTAGTGACGCAACTTGTTGCTAAGTTAGATTTTTTCTAGATGTTATGAGCGATCGTCGTGGAAGTCGTTATACTTGCGGAAGAAGCGAATCATTCCGAATTTTTGCGAGATTTTTCATTTTTACTGTGATAACGGGACGGTGAATCATCTGAAAAGAAGAAAAAGGGGATCTTCGGAACTAAAGAGCTTCAGCTAAAATCGCCGAAGAAAGCTCGCTCCTTTTTGATGAGCTTTTGATTCAAACTGTTGAGAAAAGTTGAATTGTCTATTATTTTTCGACAAATTCCCTCGATTCCTATATTTTGAGTGATTTCTGATGGTATTACCGCAGCAAAATGGACCGCTTGACCCAGGGAAACTCGAGGAAAATCAAGGGAAAGTTTGGGTGAGTTTGAAAGTTAAAAAGGTAAATTTTGTTATGCTTTTGTTAGAAAAAAGTCAGAGCTGCATATAACTGAAATGATGTCAAATTTTTGGTTGGAAGCTTTATTTGATGAAATTCGGAATTTGGCCAAGAAACCGATCGGCCACTGATCCAGTTGGGGGAACAAATTTAGCAATGAGCCTTGTGTTTTCCGTGGTGTGCTTTGTGCTCTCGAAAATGCGTGGAAACGACCTTTCTGGTGCACTGCTTTCTTTGTTTTCTCTTCTTGGAAAACGAGGGAAACCCTTGAATCTCAGTGGCACAGAAAGAGTGTGTTTGGATTTTAGCGTGAGCACAAACTGATGCACGAAGCTACTAGGGAGTTCCAGGGTCGAGTAATCAGAATCCAGTCGAAAAAGATCGATAAATCGTGTGCAAAGAGCGCTTGTTATTGAATAGTTTACGAGACATTTTAAAACGAATCATCAGTGCCATCACCGGGTATCGGAATCGATCGCCAATCCGATTTTCTTTCGTTAAATAAACCCCCGCCTCCATATTTTCCTGATCAGGTTCGTGTAAAAAACCAAACAATTCAGTAATCCAAACCAGGCCCAGGGATTTTTTTGTGAGTCAGGCTTTCAGTAAAGCCAAGCAATTTGTTGGCCAAGGCGCGTAAAGCCCGGTCAGGACTGGCTACTGGTTTGGTCTTGGAACAAACTTTAATGGTACACAACTTTTGAGGATTGAAAATCTTTTTTTTAAGTATTAGGGATAGCATTTGGTTTTTTGCAGGGCCCTAACAGATCGTCTCTCTCTTTTCTCTGTTTCGTTTTTTCTCATTGGTGTTTCCCTCACATCCCTTTTTGTTTTTGTTCTTAATAACTCGCGAATATTTCGATATCAAATTGATCAACCTTATTCCCAATTGTGCACCATTTTCCTTTGCAAGATGAAAAATTTATTCAAAACAAGAAGTAACAATAAACGAGTTTGTTAGGGCATCACCTGGCCCGACTGGTGGCATCCGGGAAATTCTTGTGAAGAGTCCATTTGGTGATGGTGTTGGTGCTGTAGCGTTTTAGTGCCGTATTCCCGAGACAAGTTCGTCATCGACACCATGCGGAAAACATTTTTCTCGACTAGATTCAAAACTTCGACCGGGGAACCCGGGTTTCCCCGGTCGACGCGAAAAGACGCTAAAAATAATCATGCTGCGCAAAGTTATAGCTTTTTTGCTTGTCCTACTCAGAAATAGGGCCCTGTTTTCTCAAACAGGCTTCAAATACCGTACCCCCGGATGCCCTCAATGTCTCATTTTATGATATGCTCGTTTTTGAAATAAGAAGTCAAACTTTGTTAAATAACTAACTTCTGATCAAATGCTTCTTTTAGGTATGGTAGCAAAGAAAAAAAAGAACACAAAAAGTTGCTGCTTTGCGATGGAAGAAGAGAACGGATTTGCCAAATAATATCAAAGTGAGCCAGAGAAAAATTTTAAGCAAGAAGATGAAAAGTTGTCGCATAAAATAAAAGGATTGCAAAACATCGCCAGAGAAAGCAAAAGGTAACGATTGCTTGTCGTAAGGTAAGGATGATTCGAAAGAAGTATCGCAAATTTTTTTGATTCTACAAACAAACGAGACCACATATTGTCTCCACTCCAATCACTTGCACTTTTATCGAAATCAAAAATCTGAAAAGAACATGAAAAGAAGAGAGTCGTGATTCGAGGAGATAAAGGCTTTGAGACAACAAAGATAACTCATGTTATCAGATAGAGCAAACAAGCCCCAATCTTGTTTCAATCAACTGATTTTGACCGTTTGGGAAGGTAGTGATAACAACGAAAGCTTGCAAAAAGTGAAGGACATTTTTCAATTGCTACCTTCTCTAAAGTGCACCTTCTTTCTCGGCGGCGATCTTTCTTTTCTTGCTTCGTCGTTTGGTCTCTCAAATGCTTCTCAAATTAGTTTGAGCTGGAGCGCGATCTTGTCGTCTCGGGAAGTAAGGATAAAACGAGGCGCGTCTGGGATGTTCGAAGAGGAAGTGGGTTTTACTTGTTCGCTATTTTGTTACAATGTCCTCTATATTTGTTTCTTTCAGCATGCATCGCGACTCTTGTCACTCATAAAAGTTCCTGCTTTGACATGCAGCTTTGCGGAAATATTTTGGTCTCCTGCTATACCAGCTCGGACGTTGGGGTACCTTTAATCAAGCCTATGACAACTACATCCTTTTCTTTAGGTTTGGGACATTCGTGACGGTGGTTCATGCATTCATCGCTTACAAGGCGTAAATGGTCACACGTCGCGCATCACTTCCTTGCAATTGCTCGACTCGGGACTTTTGGTGACAAGCTCTTGTGATGGCTCGGTCAAGCTGTGGGATGTGGATAAACGTATGTTGTTCTAAATTACCTGGTAATGTAGGCTATAAGATAAGCGAATTTGTTCAGACTTCAAGTTTTCTTCTGGAGTGTAATTTCGATTTTGATGCATCGTATCCATAAGTATATTCGTATTTTTGCTTTTTCCCCTTAGGCCTTATTGTGATTTTCAGAAGAATTCTTTCGATTTTTCAATTCTGCTGAGATTTCATTGCTCTCTCGGTTAGCGCTTGTGATTTCGTTTCAGATGTTTACCACATTTTACACACTTTCTTGTATGCCAAAGTCTTCATATTGTTAACCTTTTTCCTTTAACCTGCTTTTATTTGCTAACAATTATTCTCATAAACTTAAACTTACTCACAAATAAAAAGAAACAGGCTAAACTTTTAAACTTTTTATTACAAAGAGTAAAAAGCCGAATCGGTGACGCGAAAACGATTGTTTTTGAGGTTTCTATAGGTAGGGAAATGTGTTTTCTTATTGAAAACAGTGAGAACTAAAATTGTAAAGTAGAAAACTGAAAAAAAGGTTGCTTAGAAGTTGGAAAAAAGCGATTTTTCACAGTGATTTTCAAAAAAATACTCCGCATTCGTGTATTTAACGAGACTTTGCGATAAATTTCATTCTGGCCAATTCGTTTAGCATGTGTATGTACCGTAAATACTGTCATAGTTAGCGTGTGTTCCTCTCAAGAAATACTGTGAAATAGGAAACGTCGAAATCAACTGAATATCTTGTATAGGAAACGTCGAAATCAACAATTTGTAAGATATTAAGTTTATTTTAAATGCACTCGTTTCCTATTTTGCACTATTTCTTGAGAGGAACACTCAAGTCATCATATCCGACCCCCTCTAGTGCCCCACGGGTAGACTCGCTTATCGATACTCTAGAAACTGAGATCTGAACGGTCAAACATAAGCATGCCGTTTGTATCGCTAATATCGATACAGTGGTCCACAAAAGTATTGTTCCATTGCCATCCAAAAGCTTCTTTCATACGAAAATCTTGCAAAAAAAACGATATTCCAAAAAAGTGTAGGGTTTTTTTTGCTTACCCATAATATTTTAGTGGCTCGTCTGATCAAACGGTGCGGGTTTGGTGTGCTCAAACCGGTGTACAGCGTCATGTTCTGCAGGGGCATACGGATCTTGTTTCATGCATAAGTCTACATGGCACAACGTGAGTAATCTAAATTTTGTGCTTTAGCTAAAAGCATAATATTTTAGTCTTGTTTCTGGATCGACCGATCAAACGCTCCGAGCCTGGGACATTGTCGACGGGAAATGCCTTCACATTTTCACTGACGACTTGGAGACTGTATTTCTATCAAAGTTATAGCTTCAGCAAAGTTAAATTTCAGGCCTTTTGTGTTTTGAAGTCAACTGACCAACCCCGTCAATAGCTCACCCTAAATAGGGTTTGACGGACGAAAACTTTCACTCAAAGAAAAAACAATGGCTTTAGGCCTACTATGTTCACATGTCCCGTGTACTTTTCAACGTTCGATTGCACATACGTTCCAAGTAGCAAAACCCTTTGGTTACACGAAACTCGAAAGAAGTTTACCTTTTCTTTTTATTTGTGAGCCAGTTTAAGCCATTTATCTTGCATGCGTAAATTGTGTAACGAAAACGACCTACACAACTGAAAGCAACACAAACACCCCTGGCAACAATCACACAAGGGAAAGCAGGTCAATGGCAAAATAAAGGTAAACAAAATGAACACTTTGGCCTACAAGAAAGTCTGCAAAACGTGAGAAATATTTGAAAGGAAATCACAAACACTAATCGAGTGAGCCATGAAAAGGCAGACGAATTGAAAACCAAAAAAAATTATTCAGAAAATCACGATAAGGTAAAAGAGCAACAATCCGAATATAACTATGGATAAGATGCGTCAAAATCTATCAAGATGAGCCTTGGGCCCTCGTTACGCGATTCACTTGCACAGACGAGCCATGTTTCGGTTGCGAAGAGATGCCGAATCCAACCGCCAGCCTGCAGACGAAGGAGGTCACGAACAAAGATACCTGAAAATCACAATTCTCGTATAGTTGATAAAAAATTAACAACAGAATACTAACCCTGAACATAGCTTTAAACTTGAATAGTTAACGAGTCAAATTATGTAGTTAATAAATTACACTTCAGAAGAAAACTTGAAGTCTGAACAAATTCGCTTATCTTATAGCCTACATTACTAGGTAATTTAGAACAACATACCTTTATCCACATCCCACACCTTGACCGAGCCATCACAAGAGCCCGTCACCAAAAGTCCCGAGTCGAGCAATTGCAAGGAAGTGATGTGCGACGTGTGACCATTTACGCCTTGTAAGCGATGAATGCATGAACCACCGTCAATGTCCCAAACCTAAAGAAAAAGAAGTAGTTTTCATAGGCTTGATTCGACATACCCCGATGTCCGAGTTGGCATAGCAGCCGACCAAAATGTTTCCGCGAAGTTGCATGTCATAATAGTAGCTCCTGTCACCACTGCGAAGAATTGCGATGCATGCTAAAAGAAACAAATATAAATAATATCGCAACAGAATAGCGAACAAATAAAACCCACTTCCTCTTCGCACATCCCAGACGCGCATCGTTTTATCCTGACTTCCCGAGACGACAAGATCGCGCTTCGGGTCAAACTAAAACAGAATCCTGATTAAAGCCGGAGATTGACACTTGAACTCACCAAAAGTGAATGGACTCGATTCGTATGACCTATTAGCGTGTGTAAACACTCCCCCGTCTGCACACTCCAAACCTTATGGAATATAGAAAATTAAACATTAAGGCATTACAAACCTTTATAGCACCATCATCGGAACCAGACACAACCCGAATTCCATCAAATTGCACACTCCAAACCTGAAATTTAACTTTGCTTAGGCTATAACTTTGATACACATACCTCCGCCAAGTGGCCAGCCAAAATGTTAAGACATTTCCCGTCGACAATGTCCCAGACTCGGAGCGTTTGATCGTAAGACCCAGAAACAAGACTAAAATATTATGCTTTTAGCTAAAGCACAAAATTTAGATAACACACGTTGTGCCACGTAGACTCATGCATTCAACAGGATTCGTATGCCCCTGCAGAACATGACGCTGTGCACCGGTTTGACCACACCAAACGCGCACCGTTCCATCAAACGGCTGACTTAATTATTGCAATAGAATTTGTTCCCATAAGTATTTTTCTCTAGAAAATTGTTAGCTTCTTTGACAACAGTTATCAATTGCGGTAGCTAAAGTCTATTAACTAACCTGACAATGTATTTGCCATCATCGCTCACTTGACACCTCCAAACACCACCCATATGGCCAGTTAGAGTGAAAGCCAGCTGAAAGAGGACGTAAAATAATGATAAAACGAAACAAACTTGAGCATCATCAACATTCCAAATCCGCAAGGTATTATCATCTGAACCAGTCACGATACGACCTGAGTGAATTTGCAGACAAGTGATCACATGCCCATCGTGGACCTAAAAACAATTTTTATAGCGAAAGTATTTGTCTAAACATTTAGAACAGTGCTTGATTGAATCGCTCGAGATCGCCAATTTGAAATGATTCGCTTCTTCCGCAAGTACAGCGACTTCCATGACGATCGCTCATAACATCTAGAAAAAATTTCATTCAGCAACAAGTTGCGGTACTAACTGTCCATATGCGATCTCGCGTTCTCGTCGATTCTGATGTGCTTCTTGAAGGTCCATATGTGAGAAGATTGTGATCCCCGCTTGCTCATTCGCTCGATTGGCCGCCCAACCTCCGAGAAAACGAAAGCTAAACAAAAATAAGTTAGTGACGAGTCTTTTTCTAATCGTATTCTTAAGTGTGAACCAGTTCATTTAAACAAACATTATATTCTTTGTTTTCTTTCGTTTTACATCTTTATTTGCTCTGGAATTAATAACATTATTATCCTATACTTTAGAAGTGTAAGAATTAGATTAATATATCAGATACGTATTTTTAACTACCGTAATAATTCTAATAGAAGACCCGTCTCTATTAGAAGACCAGTCTCCAATAGAAGACCCTTTTGAAGGGAGGTTGAAAAATAGAAGACCAGTCTCTATTAGAAGCCCAGTCTCTAACAGAAGACCCAAACTTTTAAAATGCACTATGTTACCGTATCCCGCTACCACCCAGATTTTCTTGTAAAAAACATTGTGCAAAGTTATTATTTTTTTCCTACTAGTGTTTTTGTAATTCTTGTTTCTTGTCTTAAAATAAATAATGTGTTTATTTTCAGGGCTGATGGTTGAGCGACTGCCAATTCGCACGGCTTCTCTGGAGGAGTATCGAGATATTCGAAAAGATGAAGGAGACGACTTTGAAATCTTCAAGGAACGAGAAAAGGAGAATGAAAACGAGATGAATCAAGATTCGGAGAATGCTTTGGAGGCTCTCGAAGCGGAACTGCTCAAGAATGGAAACAAACGGAAGGCATATTCGATCGAGTTTAAGTTAGAAACAATTGAATTTGCAAAGACGATCTCAAAGAATGTTGCAAGCACAAAGTTTCAAGTCAGCAGAAAGATGATTCGCGAATGGATTTCGCAAGAAAAACGATTGCGAAAGATGGGGAAATCATACAAGAGGTTAAAAGGAGGTGGCCGAACCCTCACAAATACGCAACTCGACGTGGAACTTGCCGAATGGGTCCGAACCGAACGACAGAAGAAAAACAAGGTCTCGAGGCGTTTGGTTCAAGAAAAAGCAAAGCGTTTTTGTGAGCGAACGATATCAAAGTCGATTGTTCATTGGGATGGCTTCAAAAGTTCATGAAGCGTCATGGATTTTCAATGAGAACTCCAACGTCAATCTGTCAGAAGCCTCCCCACGAATATGCTGATGTGTTGGTCAATTTCGTAATGTATCTCAATCGGATGCAAAAGGAGAACAAATACACACACATCTACGCTTGTGATGAAACGGCCGTCTTCCTTGATCCAATTGGCGGAAAATGTGTTGATGAAAAAGGAGCAAATGAAGTCTCAGTTCGATCAAGTGGACATGAAAAGACAAAAATTTCTGTGATGCTTACGGCGCGCTCCGACGGTTACAAGTGCAAGCCTTTTGTTTTTTTTGCCACGGAAACGAATTGATCCGGTCATCCAGAAGCGATTTGGAGGTAAATTGAATCTTGTCTGGGAGCGAACGACATGGATGAATGATGATCTGACGGCCGACTTTCTCGAGAGAACCTTTGGACATGCTGGACTTTTCAAGTGCTTTTTGGTTTGGGACAGCTTTCGCTGTCACATTTCGAGCTCGACGAAGCGAGTACTTAAAGCAATTAAAATGGACTCGGCGGTAATTCCAGGAGGGTGCACAAAATTTATTCAAGCACCAGATGTTGTTTGGAATCATCCCTTCAAGGCCAAAATCCGAAGCTACTACGACGATTGGATGATGCATGGAGATCAGGAAACCACAAAAGGAGGTAATATCAAAGCTCCATCAATGGACAACTACTTACAATGGATCACCGATGCTTGGAATGATTTGGATAAGGATCTCATCGCTGGATCATTCAAATCCTGCGGAATTACGGTTGCTATTGATGGATCGGAAGACGATCAAATCTCCTGTTTCAAAGTGCGTAAAATTTTAGCTGCTTCTTACTTTATAAGATTTTTAATGTATTTAGTGTTTTTATTTTAGCCCAACGGTGCAGTTCCAGAAGCGGCCTCCAAATTGTTGCAAGCCCGAAATGATGAGATGGTTGCTCAATTATTGGATGAAATTGATTTGGGCGAAGACGAGAAAAACAAGGATTACGAAAGCGATGCCTCGATTGAAATCAATGACATTAATGAAAATTAAATTGAGGTTTTTTAACGGATTTGCTCCTTTCAAATTGTTTTATGTTTTATGTTAATAATTATTTGTTGTTATTGTTGTTAATTGTTGCTTTAACTAAGTGAATAAAGTGATGATACAAATGTGACTGATTTTTAAAAACAGTTGCTTCCTAAAATCGTTCTCTAAAGCTTTGACAAATTCAAGACCAGTCTCTAATAGAAGACCCTTTGGGAAGGGGGTTGAAAATTAGAAGACGAGTCTCTAACAGAAGACCAGTCTCTAATAGAAGACCCTTTGGGGAAGGGGTTGAAAATTAGAAGACCATGGTCTTCTATTAGAATTATTACGGTATATATTATTTGCTCAAAACTGTAACACACCTTGGCACATCAATTTTCACATATCCTTTCTCCAAACATTTCTGTCGCCACGTTTCATCATCTTCAAAAATCCGTCGCCACGTCCGCGAAACACCAGCACAAGTCACCAAGTCGTGCGGTGTCAAATGGGCGATGATGCGATAAGCAACCTAAAATTAAACAATTAATTCCACAAGCTTTAACAAAAGACAAACCTCCACTGGCAACTGTGACAGGAAATCCTTTTGGAACACCGGATCGATGATATCCCTGAATTTGAAAATTTTACTGTTGAAGATCATTCTCTTTACCCTTCGAGGTCAGTCTTGCTGCTCTCCGGCTTGTCCGACATCTTCTCTAAATGAAAAATTACAGCATAGATAACACCGTGAATAATGAAAACCCCCGAACAAGTTACTACCAACGTAAATATTGTAATTGTACCCGACCCGTGGGCAGACTTGCAAAACGATATTATCTATACAAAGGAGAAGTTCATGTTTGAGCCTACGAGTATCTACGGTAGATAAACCTACTAGAAGAATTGACCAGAATGAATTTTATCGCAAAAACTCTCTTTAAATGCACGAATAGGGCGCGTATTAGAACCGGCCATCAAAAGGCCTACGGTAGTATGTACAGAAAACCATATTTTGTGGTTCCACTTTTCATTCCATTGCGCTTTTCAGCGCTTCAGCCACAAAATAAGCTTTAGTGCACATTCTCGTAGGTAAGGTTAGGTTTATCGGCAGGATTGAAAAGACGCTGGGATGTTGAAATTGCGGCCGGCGACGATTTACGGGTCGAAAAGTTTTGCATTCGTCACCTTTAACCGCAAAGCTTGTTTTATGTTCTAGCACAAAGTTTTCATCGCTGAATTTAATTAACTTGACTATAATTGTAAATGAAGCAAAAGAAGACCTTAAAATAGCTTAAAACCCCTTGCTGCCATCCGGTTGAACTAAAATCTTTGGCATGGACCGCATTTTTTATTGGAGAAAAGCTTAAGTTAGGCAAAGGTCACTTCTTTGTTTTACATTTTGATGGAGCTGCTGCCAACGCTAGTGAGTTTGTTCAAGTGCGTTTTGCTAAATCAATAGCTTTGGTATTTTATCGGTGTGTCAAATTGTTGACTCAATGTCATTCAAGTATTTTTGAGGTATTTAAATATATTTTCTTCTTGAAAACAGTTAGAACCGAAATTGTGAAGTAGAAAACTGAAAAAGTTGGTTAGAAGTTGGGGAAAAGTGATTTGTTACAGTGATCTTTAGAAATTTGGTGCAAATGAAACGTGGCGCAAAGGATTTTAGCGCAAAAAAACCTGGCGCTTTTACTAGCATCTCATGAGAAGGAGTTTACGCTCTTCGTGCTCTGAGATTTGAAAACGCCTATCTACTAGGAAATTTTGAATAACAAGACAACACTTAACTAAATCAAAGGCTCCGAATTCTGACCGAAACCAAATGCTGACTTAATAAGTCACTCAAATCTCAAGAGAAAACCTCAAAGTGTAAAATCAAAGTGAGGGATTGCATGCCAAAAATTGAATAAATCATTTGTTTATTCTTTTTGCCACATTTCACACCCACCAACTAGAAATGGGAAAATTCCAAGCCGAACCTAATTCCACGTCGTTTCTCGGTCGTTTCTTTGCCGATCGCGAGCCGACTTCCGTGCCCACTTCCAAGGTCAAATACCTAACTTTATAAAGCCACCGAAAATTGATGGTGATTAGTTTTTCAAAAAAAGTAAAGCTAAAGGCAAAGATTTGATCTTAACTACAAGAATTAAAAGAACTTTTTCGCTCAAAATTTTTCAAAATAAAGAAAAATGGTTTTTTTTTCACGGTTTCACGAATGATCACCACAAAGATTCTCACGATTGCAAATTTTGTGAGCAAAGATCACAATTTTCGCCTCAAATTTCCGACTTGCACCCATAAATCTTCTCGAAATTCACTAATGCCAATGGATTATTTTAAAACCTTTTTTTTTGCAGATAAGCTACACGAGAACGAGAATGAGAATAAGACATTTTGATTTGAGGGAATGGAGAGCTTCGAGAGGGATCAAGGTAGAGAAAATGAAAGAAAGAAAATGATTACAATGCCAATGAATTATTAAAAAAAGCGCTGGAAAATTTGGACTTTCATATGCTCATAAAATCTATTGTTAGTCATAAAAGTGTTTTGATTTTTCAAGATTTTATTTACCCTAAAGTCTCGAGTATAAGTTGATCCCAGTATAAGTTCTGCCTTAATTTACATTCGCTTTAATTGCTTTGAATTTCTTTTTGTTGGGTTTTTATACATTTTTATTGTTATATAAACTTTTATTATTGTTCTTGGAGCGCGGGATACTACAGGGTGACAGCCTATCACGATTGCTATTTGTTATGTGCATGGATACATCCAGACGATAGTGTTGAAGAAGACGCTGGAAAGCATCTCTTTCGACCGTCGACGTGGACTTTGGCCGGATGAAGAGGCCAGGGAGGGATCCATAAGACTGAGCACCGGAGAGGAGCAGGGCGGACGCGCCGAGCCTAAGCCTAAGCCTAAGCCTGAGCCTAGAGGCCAGGAAGGGATCCATAAGACTGAGCACCGGAGAGGAGCAGGACGGACGCGCCGAGCCACGCCCGGAGCAACAAATAACAGCATAAAATTGCTATAACCCTCAATAAATTTACTTCTATTATTGTTCTTAAAAAGCAAAAAAGTTATGC